GGGAGAGCACATCCCCCTAAAAAAAAAACCCTCAAAAAAAAAAAAAAAAAATCCAGTGGCCAGTTCTCAACTTACTGACCTACCAGGATTATTCAATATATTGGCTTGTCGGAAAAGTCATGACTCATTTTTTACATAGAAAAAAAATATGTGATGATTTTTTTTCTTACAACCCAACAGTTGGTTACTTTCTCCTCCATGTTTATAAGTTTGGATTTTTTCTTTCCCTTTTTCTGCCTGTTTTATTTCTTTCCAGTTTCCTTTTCTGAATTGTTATGATCTTTGAGAGATTTCTTAATGTTATAGATAATGTTACCAATAAGACTCAGATTATTTTGTCTTTATTCCCTTCTTTATACTCACCAACTAGCTTATCTTAACCAAACCTTGATTTTAAGTGTTCTCTAAACACTAATGAATTCTAGACTTATAAAATTTAGCTACCTTCCTACATTTCCATATGTATATAAAATAGACATTTCAAATAAACATAGTATGGTTTAATAATTGGCTCTCTTTCTCTTTTTCTTTTCTTTATTGTTTTGTTTTGTTTTTTTAATTGCCAGAGGACATGTGTACTCTCTAGAGATAGAGGAGTGAGAGAGAAGAAAGCATTCCGCAGTGGGGCATGGCATACCACAATCCCTTCCCCTTCATTTTTCCATACTGTAGGGATTTAGGGAACACATACACATAGACTCAACATATTTTTTTCTAGCTGTCAGGGCTAGGATTCAAACTACAGTTCGCCATGTGAGATCTGGCTCCCTTATCCACTAGGCTATGAGGCTGGTATATGATTCTTGTTTAATAAACTGCTTATTCTCTCATATTTGTATTTAATTTCAGTAGATACCTACTCCATTTTTTCTTTTTGAGTTTCTTTGGTGGATAACAATTTTAAATAAAAAGAATAAAATGACTTTGTATCTTTACTTTTTTCTCATACTTCGAATCCCATTCATCAGCAGATCAATAATTTGAAAATATATGAAAAGTTATAATTAATGTTGAGTCAGACAGAAAATGTGGACATGGGATGCCAGGATGAAGACCCTTACTAGAAAATAGTTAGATTTTGTTATTAATGGGTACACAAAGGTCTATGCAGCTTTTTACAATTGCTCAATCTTACTTTGAGTCTCCACATACCACTTATGAAATTGCGTGGATGCAGGGTTCTTGACCTTAGGAGTGGTAGGCCGGGACCTTCATAATGAAGTAGGCCATTGAGGTAAAGGAAGTAAACAACAGAAAGGATGGAGGAGGAGAAGCTCTCAAAGATCCAAAGCTCTCTAGGGAAGTCTCAAAAATCTATCCTGTGAGACTGTGATGTCGTACTGAGGTCACAGAGGTGAGCTGATGGAGTGGGTTCCGGCCCAGAAGGACTCAGGGGTGGCTGTGCAGCAAGATGAGGGTGGTTTGGACCCCTGCATAAGAGAAAGAACGGGGCCACAGCTCATTGGTATGTATCCCAAACTGGGCCCTTCTACCTTCTTTTGTCCCCACACTCCTCAGCTACAGACCTCTTTCCCAGGGTCCCAGATTTCTTTCCTCTGATCCAACATCTCTCAATCCTTTAATACTCCAAAAGCATCTGGTCCCAGGGACCTATTAGCCCCTTCCATGAGGACCCTACAGTGTCCCCTTATACCAAAGCCCAAGGCCCTGTTCAAGATCAACTTTCCTACTTCACTTCTTTCACCACTGCTGGAAAGGATGATCTTGGTCTCCCATCTCCTTTCCCCCAGCTGTGTCCCCACAGACCTGGGCTTCCTGCTGCCCACCATGGCCAAAAGTGGAGAGGCTCTGCCACACGGCAGTCCAGCACCAGTCCAGGATCCTCACTTCATCAAGGTGACAGTGAAGACACCCAAGGACAAGGAGGACTTCTCAGTTATAGACACTTGCACCATCCAGCAGCTGAAGGAAGAAATATCCCAGCGCTTTAAGGCCCACCCTGATCAGCTGGTCCTAATATTTGCTGGCAAAATCCTCAAGGACCCTGACTCTCTGGCACAGTGTGGAGTGCAAGATGGCCTCACCATCCACCTGGTCATTAAGATGCAGCGTCGCACCATGGGCACCGAGTGCTCAGCCACTTCAGTCCCTACACCAGGCCCCAGTCCTGGATCACTCTCTCAAACAAGCTCCATTTATCAAGCAGATGGACCTTCTGCCTTTAGCTTAGGGCTCTTTACAGGCCTCAGTGGGCTGGGCCTGACCTCTGGCAACTTCCCAGACCAGCCAGGCTCACTGATGTGGCAGCATGTGTCTGTGCCTGAGTTCATGGCTCAGCTCATTGATGACCCCTTCATCCAGGGTCTGATGTCTAACACAGGCCTGGTGCGCCAGCTTGTTCTTGACAACCCCCATATGCAACAACTGATCCAGAACAATCCTGAGATCGGGCATATTCTCAACAACCCTGAAATCATGAGGCAGACTCTGGAGTTTCTACGTAATCCTGCCATGATGCAAGAAATGATGCGTAGCCAGGACCGGGCTCTCAGTAACCTGGAGAGCATCCCTGGTGGCTACAATGTGCTTCGCACCATGTACACAGATATCTTGGACCCAATGCTTAATGCAGTGCAGGAACAGTTTGGTGGCAATCCCTTTGCCACTACGACTACTACTAATGCCACTGCCAGCAGCAGTCAACCTTCAAGGATGGAAAACTGTGACCCTCTCCCCAATCCCTGGACTTCCTCATATGTAGGTGCAGGTGGCAGACGAGGAAGGAGGCCTGGGGACCAGGAGGGATCTGAAATTAGAAATAGAGTTCCAAATTTTCTGATTAATTTAGGACTCTATGACTATCTCCAACAATTACATGAAACCCCTTTATCCCTGGGAAACTTCCTGCAAGGAACTGCATCAACTCTCAGTCGAAGCCAGCAACCACCAGCTCCAGGAAACAGAGTTACCCCAACTTCACCCTCATCCCAGGGTCCTGGGTCAGGCCAGCCTCTCCCAAAAGAATCTGTAACAATTCAGGGGAAGTCATCCCGTCCTACTTTCCTGAGATACTCTACAGAGAACAGTACTAGACAAGGTGGAGTCCAAGACGGTGCAGGGAAGGGCTCTCCTGGACACAGCACTAGCCTGCCTGATCTGGTCTCCAGGTTAGGGGAGTCTTCCAATAGGATCCCATTTGTTCCTTCACCATCTTCGTCCATGGAAGCCACTCCTGGAGCGCCTGAGCCTACCTGGCTGCCACCCTCATCTTATCCAAGATCTCTGAGACCAGCCAGTGTGAATCAGATCCCACAGTTGCAGGATGAGATGCACCGACAGCTGCCTCTGCTGCTGTACCTTCAGGCAGCTATGGCAAATCCTCGTGCCATGCAAGCCCTGCTGCAGATTGAGCAAGGTCTGCAGGTCCTGGCTACTGAAGCACCTCGCCTTCTGCTTTGGTTCATACCTTGCTTAGCAGGGTTGGGGAGCACAGCAGGAGGTACAGAGTCTAGAGAAGGCTCCCTTGTATCTGAGGATCACCACCCAACTCCGGCTCCTGAGGTTTCCCCAGAACAGGGCTCAACAGACCTGGGCTTCCATGCCACTCCCTTCCTACAGATGTTGGAAGCCTTAGATGGTGCCAGTCCCCAGCAGTTGCAGCCTGAGGCTCACTTCGGGGTACAACTGGAACAACTTCGGGCCATGGGCTTTCTGAATCGTGAAGCCAATCTTCAGGCCCTCATTGCCACAGGGGGTGATGTGGATGCTGCTGTGGAGAAACTGAGACAGTCATAGGAGCCCTAGTCATTCAGACCATATCTTTCCCTTTGTGCCATTTTCCCATATACTATTATCCTGGCTCTCCCATTCTTGAATACAGCTGCACTATGAAACAAATTTACTATGATGCTTTTACTGCAGAGACAATGCTCCAGAGTCAGTGAGGAAGACTCAGCCATAAATAGGGTGGGGATGCTGTGTGGGACCCAACCACCAACACTACTATACCACCATGGGGCCCCAGTCTGAGCTCTGCTTGTGTTTAGCTTGAGATGCAATTACATCCAATCTCCAGTGTCCTCTACTGCCTGAGTCTGATTCTTTTTTTTTTTTTTTTCTTGAAAAGGATTTTGCTATCTGGTGCATGCACTCACCAGAAAGACAGAGAGAGACAGAGAGATAGAAATCGAGAAATCACCCCCCCCCCAGGGGGGATGGCCACACCACAATCCCTTCTCCTCCATTCTCCTCTCGGGATCTTGGGCATGCACACACAGATACCTGGCGTGAGTTTAAGCCACCGGGTCCGGGACCTGAACTGCAGTCGACTACATGGGAATCCAGCGACATAGCCATTTCGCCAACTGCTGGTCCCCTGAGTCTGATTCTTGATGGCTGTGAGAAAAGGGAGAATATGGGAGCAAAGGTGGTGATAAGGGCTATCTCTACATGGTGGAAGGATTTGGAGGGAAAAGTAAAAGTTTGAAGCTATAAAACTCAGAGTTATTGAAAACTGCGGAGGAGATGTTGCTATAACTCTTTGAAAGCTGAGGCCCGTGGCTTTCCTGTAGATGTTCCAGGTTTTACGTCATGCTGCTCTGTTCTTTATGACTCTCTACCACCACCCTGACTAAAGCGTAAGCACATTTCCTTTTTTTTTTAATTGTCCCTGAAGACTATCCTACAGGTGGTGTCACTTTCAGGATTTGACATTGATCCCTCAGTGGATAGAAATAGAGCAGCAAAGATTGAGACTCCATTATGAGATTTCTGAGTCTCAAGAGCTTTATAAAGCCCTTTGTAGTCAGTTTCAGAAAGTTGATTTTTTGCAACATTCAACTCAAAAAACAAGTACCAAAATGAAATAAAAATAAAAAAGTTAATAATAATAATAAAAAAACAAAAACCAAAAAACAAGTACCAGCTCTGTGCTCAGCAGGGTGGCTTTTAGGAATTTAAAGCTAAGTAAAAGAGACATCCTGCCTTCATGAGTTTATGAGCTAGTAGAAAAAACTGTTCCAACAATGAGGAGATGATGTATACTTACTACATATAACTATAAACTATAAGCACTATAAAGAAAAAGGTGCAGAGCTGTGAAATAGCATATACAGGGACTCGATATAATCTAGGGAGATAGGAGACCTTTCTAAGCTAAACTATGAAAAGTTGTTAGAATTAAGTAGGGA